CATATGTATAGTAAAGAAATCGAGAGTAATATTCAAAGTAAACAAAAGCAAACCTCAATAAAAAAAGGAATTTGAATAACAGTAAGAACAATCAAACAACTTGATGTAGTAGGTAGCACACAAAGGGTTGCATCCCACAACTTTGGGATAATAAAGCAAACTAGGCTTGGCTACGTGTTTTAAACCCCGGGGACTTACATAACCTATCATTGTCGGATAGGAAAACAATAATTAGCAACATAAGGATTAATGGAACGGCCAGCGCCTGGCGGAGTTCACTTACCCTATAATTATATGGATTAACGACCTCATCTAACGCTCTGGAGTCGCAGACTACACTCGTATTGATACCTTTAGCAGAGATACCTGGTCCGGCTGGGAGATCAGTCTTGATGACGTATGGAGGTTCCAATAGGTACAGCATAAATTTGCCGTCATCTTCATCATTGTCTCCTGCAATCTCGTAGGGCCAATCAATGATGAGACGGGATTTGGGCATAAGACTGTGCTTGCGTAGATTCTGAATCTAAAAGATGAACAAGTCGTACTAGTGAAATCGGGACCAATAACCATTGTTTTCTGGGATTTGTAGAAGAGAACAAAATACGAGTTCATTTACCTTCAGTCGTACCAACAGGCGCGTCGAACCTATTTTATTTTCTCCTCCATTGATAAGAATGCCATCAGTGACGTTTCCACCGAAATAAGCAGCATCGGGCAGGATTTCTCTAAAACAGGAAGTAAATGGCACGTATAATGCTATAGAGGCAGTGAGAAATGGCCGCTTTGGCAGCACTATTGATAAAAAAGAGTGTCATATAATTAGGGTCCCGGAATTTACCATAACTTGAAGGTATAGTATTAGAGTGCAAGTGTAGATCAACTCATTAGAACGAGTTATCAAGAAAAAAGTCAGTAAAATAGACGTGACAACGGCTGACAACAAACAGTTATTTCCCCCTGGCGGTTTCGAGGAGACCGGACCAGCGAGCGTTTACAATGTCGCCTGAAATCTAGTACTGTGGACACGTACCCAGCAGCCAAGATAATAATGATTTTCTGAAGCACTCCGCTTTTTCATCTTAAAGGTAAGGATATTCAGATTTCTTCAGTGTGTATCTACGTGTCCACTTGCTCCCTTTAGGGAGGCTTGATTAGTCGAGCGACTAGGCACTTGTCCATGCGGATGCGAAAGCACCATCCTGTCTGGCTCAATCAAGGCACTGATAAAGCTGCCTCGAATGCCATTGTGGCTTCACGCCGGGTTAGTAAGGTCACAAAATAGTTGGTTGGTCGTAGGAGGACCGATTTTTTGGGTTGACTGGCAACTTCCCAAGCGGCGACTATGAGGACGCCGCAGTATGTGCAAAGCGCATCAGTTTTGCTGCGGTAATGGAAGACGACGCATAGCCGGCCCCATTGTTGCTCCTGTGTTTAAAAAAGGTAGGTCAGGCCAGCTAGGAATGGAATCGCGCAGTTTGTTGTGACATAAAGCCCCCGGCTCTCGAAAATCGCATACGTGTCCGGGCAACAAACTATTGCGCGACCCTATTAACCCAGCAATGAATGCTAACCCTAACGAACACAATGGATATGGTTAGTTTGAGAACTTAAAGTATCTCCCTGGAACCGTTAAGTTGGCGAGCTCCTTCCCTTCATTGAGTCTCATCCATAAAACTCTTATTACAACCGGTACAGTATTGCATGTAGAATAAATTTATGTTGCCCGAATGAGTTCACATATAGCGTCCTTGTTTAAATGTCTTCCGGTGGGTAAGTTTTTGAATTAGATATCAAAAAGGAATGGCAGCCGTTGTACATCAACCGACACTCACCGGAAATGTACAAAATCATAAACCGAAGTCACCAACGATTCCCTTAATGCTATGAATAGGCTCTTCAAAGGTGATTAAACTGAAGCCTGCAATTGGGTCCTCTTAACCCATGTGGTTGGAGCCTTGACTGTACTCAAGTCTTGCTTTTGTTGTTCCGACCCCCCCTCCCCCCGAGGTCGCTGAGTTTTTCACAACAGGATAAAAAGGAATGACCTTATTTTGGAAGGAGAATCTCAAAAAGGTACCAGCATGGACGACGAAGAGTGAACCAGAGTTTTCAAAGCTAGCCTGTCGGCGCCAAGCGCAAACACCAAAGTAAGAATGCTCAAAGTTGTGTTCTTAAAAATAGCTGTATACGGCCCGAGGAGTTGAATAACTTTTCAAAAATCAAGCGTGGAAGGTGGAACACTTTTCACCTAGGCGACTATTTTACGGCGTCGCTGCGGGTTTATGTCTATACATAGGACAGAAAAACGCTACAATAGCACACTGAAAGCCTCGCCCATATGGTCCACATGATCTACGAGTACTGCAAGTACGGCAAGTTCGGGGAACTGTAGTAACTTATGGCGCAGCAAAATTCAAAACAAGGTAAAGACAGGAAGCCTAGGGTTGGGATGCCGATGAACGCAGTTGTCAAGGGCCAACCACTTCCAATGTGTTCTCCACCCTCTCGCACACATTCAGAACCCGCACTGTTCTCCGTACGCAACACAGTACCATCAACGGCAATAACAACATAGGACTTATGGCAAGACACCTTTTAAGAGCTGACCAGATGCTCCACATCTGCCCACACTGTGGGCGCACATTCTAGACCGGTATGGCCCTCGGCAGACATCACCTTGGTTCTGAACTGCTGCCTGGACTTCGCCACTTCTCCTCTATCGGACACCTCTGTGTTCACCTCTGCACACCCAACCGTTGCTCTCGGGCCAATTGCTGACAATTCCACCTTTCTACCGCCTTAACCTACACAAACTCAGGCGATTTATGATTCAACCGCTTCTTAGGCAGCTATGGTTTCAGTATGGGCACGAGAAGACACAGGGTACTAGCTAGTAATTACGTTGCCATAACTACCGTCTAAGCTACTTTGCAATATTGCACAATTCACTTCTGGACTTGTTCGATCCACTCAGCTACCAGCAGTTACAGATTCCTGCTGGTAACTAGCATTCCAAAAGAAAATGTCCCATAATGCACCGTCAATTTTAATGCAGTGAAAGAGAGTACATCCAGATACCTTGTCAGTCCCTTAACGCGAATGAACAGAGGCCTATACTCATAACCAAAATAAAAATAATTAAGTTGGCAAAAGGGCTACAGTGGAGTGAAAAGAGCGAGCTGCGTAAAAAGTACAGCAAAGGGACCTCTGAAAGCTAATTAAGGTTTATGTCCCGAAAATGAACAAATGATCGCAGACTGTGTCCATATAAACCACATAGAGACTGATACATTCGTAGCCTAGATAACAAAAGGATATCGAGGAAACCTGAAGCACTTACCCCTCAATTGTGACATTTAGTGTCATTTTCACCTTTACAGTCAGTTTGTCTTCCAATGGTGTAAGTGCAGTTGGCGGGGTGTTTGGACTCCTGAAGGGGAAAGAAGCTTATCAATTTTAAAACTGTGTTCAAAAGAGGGAATTTCTAATGTAGGACCAAAAAAACTGTCAGAAATTCAAGGCAGACAAAAAGCCTTCAGTCTATAGTCTGAACAAATGTACGTCTTTCCGGATTTAAACTTGCACCCAAAATGAGATGCAGTATCGCTGCGATTAAAAAATGAAAAATACTCGTTGCGGATAAATTTCGGATCGGTGGATATCGCTAACGTGTCACCCTTCATACAGGACAGGGAATAGGAACGCCCCCCGTAATAGAGCTGCGCTACATTTCAGAAAGTGTACCTATTTGCATGTCCTAACCCAAAAATTAACTCTAACCTTAGCCTTAACATCAATCCTAATCCTAAATATGATCCTCATTTCCCTGGAATGTGACTCAACGTCACCTGTATTATGGGGCGTTTCTACACCGTTCTATTGTTAGGTTGGGGATACTTAAACGACTCCCGTATTAAGAACACATATCACTTAATGTTGTTCATTTTGACTTGTCTCGGTCGTCGATACTACTTGGAGGGAAGTCAGTAAAAAAGAATTTGTAGGATATATAAAGAAACCAAGAGAGTAGCAAGACGCTTAGCGTTAGAGAGCTAATTTACTAGTTACTACTTCCGCGAGTTGTGCATTACACAAAAGCGACATCTGAAACACATTTATTGAAATTCTTTTTTGCCAGTCTTTGGTTATAAGACAAAACGATATCATATATTAACAGATATTTCTGACTTTTCAAGACCATTATGAGGAATGATTTATTAGTATGACCAAATCTATTCAGAGTAAGAGTTCTGAATAGTCGAAAATATGCGAGGCCCAGGTAGTTGAAGAGAAGGCGGGAAGACGCTCTCTAGGACCAGAGTAAGAGTTATTCTGCGATAACAATCGGACTTATATATATTTCGACATGATGATTAGGCCCTGACTCGCTGAATTGAGAAGTCCTCATAGAGAAGCAATGCGGAACAGATAGAATATTTCTGTCATTTAAACAGGTAAAACATCGAAACTAGCTGGGAAAAAATAGTAGAACACGTCGAGTCCATGGGAATGAGCTGCTGTTTTGGGATTCCGAATCCCGGAAGACAGAGAGTAGGCGGAATGCTCCGATTGACAGTTTAGCCGGTATGCACTGTACCAACGTAATGGACTTCGTCTTGCCTAATGAACTTGAAAGGGTAGTGCATTATTTGCTAATGAAAACGATAGCTTTCTTATGTTTTCCCTCGAACACACTATTTACTCTGTGGATTTAGGCTCTTCTTCAAAACCGGTATACAATTCGTG